ATCCTGTCCAAAGAAATAATTTGGACCAATAACAAATAGGCTCGTGACCACACAAAATAATTGTTCACATCCAATTTTTCTGGACCAATTTGAAGAGAGTGTGATGTAGATCATAGTAGGGAAAAATTAGAGATGAGAAGTGAAGAAGAATTAGCGATGAGATGAGAAGAGAAAAAGAAAGGGATCAAAAAAGAGAAAGAATTCAAGGAAGAAGAAATATTAGTATTCAATCATAATCAAAGTCTAATCTCCATAAAACCCTTACATGCATCCATTTATATAGGGAAACTAAAATCCTAAAACAAACAAATAATGACATATAAACCCTCACAAGTTAAAAGAAATTACTTAAAAGATAAATATTAAAATTATCTAAATAACTATCATGATTAATCTATACTATCTATCTAATTCCTACACGATCTCCATCATTTTCCTCCGGTTTAAAAAAACTCTCCTTCGAAGAATCTTTAAAGTACCCAATAAGAGCAGAACGAAGATGACAAAACGCTTCATCTAGAATGAAAAAACCATCAATATCTTTCCATCTAGTAGAATAAATGCAATAATCTTCATCTGTAGCAATATAAATCTAGTCATGTAGCACATCATCTATTTGGCTTGAAATATGCGATGGAAGTGAAAAGATAAGAGTTGAAGCTAGGGCTGAGGAAGAAACAATTCCACCAGTAGAAACACTGGATAACAAAATAAGAGGTTCCAGAGTACCTCGATTAAGTAGCATGTCCTCCAAATAAAAATCTGGACTAATACTAACATTCAATGAAAAATTAAGTAAATAAGTATTACATCCAAACTCGAAAATAACAAAACAATTCCCATTAGATTTGAACAAAAGTCATTCAGTAGGACAAGACATCAATGACAAAGGAGTAACTATAACACACTGGTGCTGAAAATAAGAAAGTACAGACGCAATTGAACACTTGGCAGTAGGCAAAGAAACAAAGTTTACACTCCTAAGTGGGACAGAATCCAGAACAATGTCAACAATCTCAGGTGGAGAAGAATCCACAACAATGTCATCATGATTCGGAATAGTAGACATAGAATAATTGGCAACAGATTCTAAAATAGATAGCTCAATATATTTAATATCTTTTATAGGAACAAACTGAATGAATTTTTTTTCAAGTTCAATGATTATTAATGATTCAACTTTTGGCTCCGATGAGGTAGGAAACATGATAGGATCAAAAATAATCTTATCACTAGCATCAATGTTCAAACGATTGAAAGTATATTTTGAAGGATGGAAAGCATGAGGGTCCAACGGAACAAAAATAGCAAAGATATCAAATTGATGTAGATCGTATTAGCTCTGATACCAAATTGATGTAGATCGTAGTAGGGAAGAATTAGGAATGAGATAAGAAGAATAATTAGGGATAAAAAGATAAGAAGAAAAGAATGAGAAAAGAGAGAGAATTTGAGGAAGAAGCAATATTAATATTCAATAATAATTAAAGTCTAATCTCCATAAAACCCTTACATGCATCCCTTTATATAGAAAAACTAAAACCCTAAAACAAATAAATAATAACAAATAAACCCTCATAAGTTTAAAAAAATTACTTAAAAGATAAATATTAAAAGTATCTAAATGACTATCATGATTAATCTATAATATCTATCCAATTTCTACACGATCCCCATTAGAGTGGTTATTTGCAAGAGCGCCTAAGTGGCTCAACCCATTTCCTCCTGTACTTCCTACGGTTGTGGTAGGGGTCACTCTCCCAAAATAGGATCAAACAGCCTCAATTGTTAACCCAAACAGAAAATTGCCAAAGTCCTCAACAGTCACCAAAAAACCACGCGAAATAGCAACAAATCGTAGCTGGAACTAGAAAAAGACCAGAAGATGCCTTCAATATCCACCTACTGCTCTCTGGGAAGCAACAGGAGCCAAGAGGACTTACAAAAAGGCTGGCCGAAGTTCCTGGCAGAATGCCGAAGTTCACTGGTGGGTGCCAAGGCTTAAAGCTTGCCAAAAAACATCATAAACCCCTTCCAATCTCAACAAAATAGGATGAAATTTCTATATTACCCCAAATCGCACCTCATTAAGGATAACCGAACCAGAAACACCCACCAGATTGAGCCAAAATCGCAGATCTGAGATTCAACCCAAAACAACCTTCAAAAATCTGAAAAAACAGTCAAAAGGCATTAAAAAATTCTGAATTAATAGCCAAAATTCTTCGGAGGCCCAGTCGAGTCTGCCATGGCAATTTTCGAATTTTTATAACATGATGTCAGCATGTCAGATCTGACAGAATCATTGTTCACTGGTTTCCGATGAATTCCGACTATAAATTTTGATCAAAGCTCTGATATCAAGTTAGATTATAATATTGTTAGGGTTTGTAGGTTAAGAGATAAAGAAGAGAGTAGTGTTGGGATTGCAGAGCTACATTCCAATATATATATATATATATATATATATATAATCACAAAGTACCAAAAATACCTTTAAGGGTTACGTCCTAATATAATATAACGTAAGATTAACTAATGCCACTACTCCATTTGTTCACTTCGGAATCTCTTATATGAACCACGATCCTGTGCATCAGGCGTGCACCACTTCTACTTTACAGTGAAACACGTATGAGACAGTCACATAACTCATTAGTCTCCAACTAATTCTGTAACTAGTTGAACAGGAATAAACTTAATTACATCCTTAAGACTATTGTTAACATGCATCAACAATAAGATGGGAAAAAAAGAAAACTGACAAAAAATAATTAAACATCTTTACATTTAAAATGAGGCAAATAACTGGATAAAAAAGGTGAGTATTAACCCAAACTGGTGGGAAATGCAACACCAATGCAGACGGTATAAAAAAGTAATCAAGTTCTAACTTCCGATTGAACACTGCAAAAACCTGACCTTCAATTTTCCATCAATTTTGACTACAAGAACTTCGAAAAAAGAGTCTAACAACTCAAAGCCATTATCTCAGGCCCCAAGACTAACAGGAAACACGACTATTGAGTTGCTCAATATAGAAGTTTCCCATAAAGAATGGAAAGACAAGTAGGGGGTCACTAAATAAGTCTTCTATCATTTACCCAAGAAGTTATAAGAACCAAAGGTGATGGAACTCAACAATACTGATCTTACACATTTGAGCACACATCTGACAATAAATTCGATTCTCTACAACTATTCAACAACAATTCAGAAGGAGAAATGACATAAAAGTGAGTTGATAACAGATTGGTTTTAAATTTGTATGCCTAGACCAGTTCACTGAAATAATAGCAACACATAAGAAGTCATGATTCTCCTCAGACCAGCCAATAGCTTCAGCTAAAGTTGCTCCAGTACAACATAAGTCCAGTCACTTTGGTATTCAAATCACATTATATAACCAGTGGCCTCCACATTGGAACCACTGCATAATACAATAGTAAAAGTGCCGAGCATCACTTCTGCAAATGTTNGTTACGTCCTAATATAATATAACGTAAGATTAACTAATGCCACTACTCCATTTGTTCACTTCGGAATCTCTTATATGAACCACGATCCTGTGCATCAGGCGTGCACCACTTCTACTTTACAGTGAAACACGTATGAGACAGTCACATAACTCATTAGTCTCCAACTAATTCTGTAACTAGTTGAACAGGAATAAACTTAATTACATCCTTAAGACTATTGTTAACATGCATCAACAATAAGATGGGAAAAAAAGAAAACTGACAAAAAATAATTAAACATCTTTACATTTAAAATGAGGCAAATAACTGGATAAAAAAGGTGAGTATTAACCCAAACTGGTGGGAAATGCAACACCAATGCAGACGGTATAAAAAAGTAATCAAGTTCTAACTTCCGATTGAACACTGCAAAAACCTGACCTTCAATTTTCCATCAATTTTGACTACAAGAACTTCGAAAAAAGAGTCTAACAACTCAAAGCCATTATCTCAGGCCCCAAGACTAACAGGAAACACGACTATTGAGTTGCTCAATATAGAAGTTTCCCATAAAGAATGGAAAGACAAGTAGGGGGTCACTAAATAAGTCTTCTATCATTTACCCAAGAAGTTATAAGAACCAAAGGTGATGGAACTCAACAATACTGATCTTACACATTTGAGCACACATCTGACAATAAATTCGATTCTCTACAACTATTCAACAACAATTCAGAAGGAGAAATGACATAAAAGTGAGTTGATAACAGATTGGTTTTAAATTTGTATGCCTAGACCAGTTCACTGAAATAATAGCAACACATAAGAAGTCATGATTCTCCTCAGACCAGCCAATAGCTTCAGCTAAAGTTGCTCCAGTACAACATAAGTCCAGTCACTTTGGTATTCAAATCACATTATATAACCAGTGGCCTCCACATTGGAACCACTGCATAATACAATAGTAAAAGTGCCGAGCATCACTTCTGCAAATGTTCTCATCATGGAAAACTGCATCATTGAGAAGCTTTGACATCAAGATGCCCCCCTCTTCACAATTTTCAATTCTAAAACCATCATTTATGTAAATCAACCACCATTGTCAATGAAAACTGTGCACTCACCCAAGCTATGGTTACCTTCATTATATATGACCGATAGATTGGTAGGGCTCTCCTTTTTGTCTAATGTTGCACCAAGGGATAATTATGTTCAGCTTCCAAATTAAGTCATGAATTATATATAAAACAGAATCCATGCCAGTAAGAAGAAAAGGAAAGAAGAGGAAGGAGGAAAAGTAGACTGCAGCCGCTATCTAGCACTTCATTCACTTAAACACAGTTTTCAGAAAACAAAACCTAATTCCAGCTGTCAGCAAGTAATTAAATGCTACAAAATCAAAGAGGATCGTGTTGATCCTTCTCTTAGGAAACGGTTGTTCGGCTGTGGAGCCTGTGAATATAGATGATAATATCTCATACATTCTGTAATACCAGTCCTTTCATGACTTGGCTGATCCTTAGCTCTTGAGAATATAGCAGTTCACTTATTCAGTGGACCAAAATACTTGGATCCACCATATGATGCACTACATATATACGCAAAAACACACAAACTTAGTGACCGAATATTCACCTGATTCTTGCAATAGTCATTGCAAGGACAGTAGCCAGGCGTGCATTCTGTGCTGGTCAGTACATTCAAGCAGCTCTCCCCACATGCACTGTCAGGATCACCGGCATCATATTTACATTCACAAATAGCAATATCCTCTTCTCTCTGCTTTATGTGCCTACAACACAAAAAATTCACATCACCATAGAGTCTACACAGGCAAATTCATAATTTATCACTCCGCTCTAGTAGGTAATCACTCAGTAAGTATCAGCTCCATCTTGGCATCACTGGCAGAGCCAGTAAGGGGCAAGTGCCCACCCTAAAAAAATTTCCCCTCGAAATTCCCGTAAAAATTCTAAAAATTTTCTACCAGTATTTAACTATGCCCACCCTAGTATTTTTTTATCATATCAATTAGTATACACCCATACCTAAATGACTGTGAACTTTCAGACATTCTTTGAAAATGATACAAATGTATTTAGATAAAGTTTTGGACATATAAAGATCATTTTTGTACTTTTCAAAACAATAAATGGTAACTTTTTTATTGTTCAAAATTTAGAGTCTAGACAAGGACATTATGTTATGTCATGGTAACTATAAAATTACAAAATCATTGGACTTAAAAAAATAGGGGATGAAATTTAATATTCACTAGCATTTTTCACTCGGGTGAGCTCGTCTTCATTCTTTTTTATGGCCTCGCATCACGGGCCGCTGCATGCAACCTCTACAAAAATACTGATTTTATCGAGGGTTGTACTAATGTTTTCTTTGAAGGAGGGAAAAAAGAGATTCCCCTTTTTATCGCAGCGTCTGATTCCGAGGGACCGCTCTATAAAGATTCCCTAATACCACTGTCATCAAAATCCTCCATACAACAGTCTGCCCTGCCCTCTAGGTCATAGCACCAGCACCTAAACGCTTACTCTTACTACTCTTCTTAGGTTCACCTCTAATCTGAGGATTGGTTGCCCTGACATTCTTGTTTGGAGTCATTTGTTTATCACTAAAAAAATCACCCTCAATCACTGCCATAGCTAACCCAGTATCAACTCTCTCTTCCAGAGCCTCACTTCTATGGGCCAAATCACTCTCCTCGGGAGTTATCTCCTTGATTACGTGTTCCTTGGCTTTGTTACCCATATACTCACCTTGCGCAATCTTTACTGGTTCAACAGTGTGTAGATTTAGCTGGCAAAGGCCAACCGAGATGGGAGAACGAATGGCGAAGGAGTCGACCGGTTTCGAGCAGACTCATGGAGCCGCAGTTTGGATTATCTTAGAATAAAAGGAGCCATCTTAGGAAATGACTTCACTTAACAGACAGATGCCCCTGGTACTGAATTCTTGAACCTCTGCATCTCAAAACTTGGAGACTAGTTCTCAATGATCGATCGATAACTAACTAACTTCAGTCAGAACCCACCTATTTACACTTCATTCTACTCCCTACGCACTCGCACTAGTTCGGAGAGCTATTGAGACTATTTCAGGCTCATGTTCGGCCCTATATAGGTTGGTAGGCGGGCTAAAAAACCGACTGAAACAGCCAAAGCCGAATAAGATGACAAAGCTAAATTTCGGTTTTGCGAAGGGCCAAGGAGAAGCAACACCAATGCGAGTTAGATGCTCTTCTATCGCACTTCTAGAGCATTTTAGAGTTTATCACAGCAAGAGCTCAAAAGCCCTACCTTTAACCGCCCCATCGACATTCCTGACCTACCTCATGATCGCTTAGAGCACTTTTCCATCGATAGGTACTCCCAATGCGACTGGAAAGCTCTTTTAATGAAAAATCCCGGGTTTTGACAATCAGTTGCGCATCAAGATCTTGATCTTGCATCTGACCTACACCATGCAGTTACTATGTAATATGTCTTGCACTATCTTCAATAAAGAAAATCTTATTCTAAAAACAAGTCTACTGCTCAGTTAAACACTTCGCTCGCTTCAATTACAACCCATCCTCTAACTTATAAGCTAAGTTAAGACGAACTTGATCAGTTCACCAGTAGCAACAACAGCATTAGTAAAGGCTTGTTCCAAAGATATATATGTGGAGCAGTTCCAGTCCCTTTTGTTTTGGGAGGGAGTTTCGTCAGCTTCGGTGCGTAGAGTGTCCCTCCACTCAGCCATGTAAAACACAGCTTTGTATACCCCTAATTTTGCTATTAGTGTGCCTTATGGAGGCTCCTCGTGGAAAGCTTTGCAGTTAATAATCGAATAAGTAATTCAATCTCCCTTACAAAAAGGTATGTATGGTGGAGATTGGTTAAAGATGATATTACGCGGCGTCCAAAACTAATCTTGAAATGAATAAATTAGAAAGAACGAAGAAGTAAGGAAATGAGATGACTTTTTCTTGAACTATATCATAAACAAATTTGATTTGGACACTGATCGAAGATGTACCATTGAAGCTTGAGCAATAATCTATATACGAAATTGTTATATTAATAAGTTGATTGAAAGGAAGATAGGACGAATTGACCTACACACCTGAGCAACCGGATAAAGCTCACAATCATTCAAATATGTGGAGTGAGTGCGGTTTGATAAACCGGCAAAAAGGAAGTACATATCAGGCCACCTTGCTTAGATCCCCGAATCATAGCATAAGCCTAGGAGATGCCACTCGCAGAGATACACGCATTCGATCCTTTTTGTTAAAGGAGCCTCTCACGCACTCCTATGTATGGATTTCAAGTTCGCCCCCATTCCCCACCCCTTCTTCTTATTAGTAAGATAGAGAAAACGGAAGTCACTTGCGTGAACCTGTGCCTCGAACTCAAAAAAGAAAAAAGAAAAAAAACTAAAATATGGAACCTCTGCCATACATGTTGGCTAGGGAGAATCCCCTTGAAAGAAACATGGCCCCAATACAGTAAGTGTGTGTTGATTTTCTGTATATGATTCATATATTATACGGGAGTCTACATTTGATGTGAGGGACAGGGACTTTTTGATAACAAGAAGGTGAACTACTCTAATCGAAAAATGAGTCGCCATTTTAGTTAGAGGACTGACCAAAAGAGGAGAAAGGCGCTGGGCTAAACAAGGTGTCAAGAGCTTAATAGTCGAATAGGTAGAGAGAAATTCGACTCATGATTTCAATCAATCAAGGAATGGTTCCAAGATCCTTGGAAACCGAAATGAAACTTTTGAAAGCAGGCGTAGATCCACGATGCACTGACTCTCACATGGCTTTCAAGCTTGCCTTCCGGTTACCTTCAGCCCGAAGATCGGGGGTGCATAGGACTAGATGTGCTTGCAGACCGAAGGTCACAGCAGCTTGCTTGCTAAGGTACGAACTAGTGTTATTTCTTTGGAAAGCTCCTACGAAGGTGAGAAATTCCCCGATAAAGCGGTTAGTACAAGGTGAACTCATATTGGCCAAAGTGGAAGAAAATGGTGAGGAGATTCGACATGGTGCTCACTAAACCTCCTTAATATCTAACATGTCAAGTCTTATATCGGTCATATAGAATACCAACACATAAGAAAAGGGCTGATGACTTGAAATCGGTAGAATGCTACCTCCAATTCCCTGTATGTTCAATAGAGCCAAAGATTTTCCTCCACTTATTGGAGTATGCCAATTAATCCCCGGGGAACCGTACAAGATAGTTACCACCTATCATATGGCTTTCTAACTTCACTTCTTTTTCTGGTCGTTTTGCTTTTTCGATTGATGGTAGTATAAGAGATCTATAACCCCCCAAAACTATTTACATAAAGGTTCCTACTTCCTACCCATAGTTAACATGTATCTCTCTAGGTCATACTTTAGTATCACATCGTAGACCCCAACCCCAACTTTATCTTCCTTATCAATGAACCAGAATATAGTGCATAAGTACTCTTCAATACAGCGGGAAAGAGTTGACGTGACATACTACGATCACGTACAGAAGTGCTGCCCTTTGGCTCGACAATATGGAACCTCTAAACAAGGCTAAGAGCTAGTACAGTACTTAAATCAATAAGACAACAACGGAAGACTCATCAACTCATGAACTTAGTAACTCAATTGTTGAAAGGTGAAACTCTACCTAAAAGGGACAGCTTTCACTAAAAAGACAAGTCAAAGAGGAAAGGAGAAGTCGGCCCTTATCTCATTCCTTTCTAAAGACAAGAATGTAGGATCGGGTAAGAATCTACAAAAATAGTACGTTACCCCTCTTAATCCCCATTGAAGAGGTTCCTGCTATGAGACAACTTGGTTTAATTATATCAAAAGTGACTATTGAAACTTACAGCGACTTCAAAGGAAAGAATCGAAAGCCAAGTCAATACCAGAATCTTAATCGTATACACTGATCACTTTCGATAAACAGACTCATAAGACAAGACAACAATGATTATTTCTTAAATCTAGTGCTCGATCTTGGGTCTTAGGTGTGGGTCGAATTATGATAAAGAAAATTCAGTGGTTGTATAATTCTCAAGCAGAAAGTCACAAAGTAGATGGAGTGATCAAGCGACCCTTCCTACGCCAACATTCATTCAATGGCATAGAATGACACATAGAACTCCTTATTTAAATCCGGAAACCAAAGGATTAGGGTTGACATCAAACATCATCTGCATTTTTAAAGGCTTCATCCTGTTCTGGTTCCTAACCATTGTACCTTTCTTTTGAAATGATTTTATTATTGGATCCTGCGCTTCGAAAAGTCTTTAATAATGTGTCTATAATAACCTATATGTTCCAAAAAAGAACATGCTTCCGACCCCCTTTTCCAGTAGATGAGATTATAGTAATGCCAATAAAAATAGAAAATGAGAGACCGAAAGTAATGAAAAAATGACTTGTAACTGTGAAGTTGTAAGGTATCATACCCTAGGGATTACGAAATAACGAAAAAGGGAAGGAGGTCCTAATACAGAGTCGCACACTTACTTGAGCTGTGAGGGAGACTTGGGAATAGGTTGAGTAAACTCCCCCGAGCCCAAAAAAATAACAGACAAAGCTTTACTTGGATAAGACTTTGATTGAAAAGGAAGGCACCTAGGTATGTTATCAAAATGAAAACTCTTCCAATTTCTAAAAATAGCTCAGTAAATGACTGATCGAGCAAGTGGTTGATGACAAGAATACATACTGGCGCGATTTCTATCTAGTGTTTGTGCAAGTGCCAACCCACTAACCCTATAAGGGGTACACCAACAAAGACAATCCAACCAAAGAACAAGGGCACATCTTCACAGCTTTATCTGCCGTTACACGAAGTCTTTATCCGTATTCCAACACCCTTTTAAGAATGTCAAAATCGGCTTGATTTGGAGCGAGAAAGAAGCCGTAGGGGCATCCCTCCATCTTTCTTTTCCTTTATATTGGATTTATTAACCATGGAGAGAACAACTATAGGGATAGAGTCTCGAGAACTTCATCCTATTTTTTGGCAGCTAGCCCCAGGGTGGAATAGAAATACTAGATTAACTAACCATAGAACATAACACTTTCAATACAAGGAAAATGAGACTCAATTCTATCCTTTAAAATAAAAAGCCCACTTTTAACTTCGCTCTGAAGACACTATGACAACTCCCCCTAGAAGAAAAGAGGAAGGATGAACGCAAAAGCGAAAGCACTTGGGGAGATACAAGCACTAGACTATGCAAACTCAAGAGATAATGTCTACATCGTCTAACTAGTCTGATCTACCAGATAGCAATAGGGCCAATGAGACGTCCATTATCTTATCAAATATAAAGGGATTTGAAACATCTTCCTGACAGGAAAACCACTATTTAGGAAAATCTAGACTCACTCTTGTTATCGATTCTGAGAAGACTTTTGTTCCTTTGTTCCCATTTATTCCAACTTTAATTAAAGCATCAGACTTGTGGTTCCTTAGAGGAAAGAATGGCAGGACCCTGACGTACGAAGGGGACTAAGAGTGCACTTTGTGAAACTTCTTTTAGATAAAAAAGAAATAGAATTGTGGAGTTGTGAAGCGACAAAGCCGACTATAGATACACCCCCTTGCGCTTTTAGCTTAGGTTTCTTGGATGGGACTTGTCCTTTTTGGTTTGGTAATGGGTCAACCAGGCCAGGAGACACAAGTGGAAGCTGGCTCGGTGCCCGAGTGAACGCTAACCCATTTAGAGGTAAAATCCACCGACAAATTTCTCTCCACAAATTCAAAAAAACGTCAAATGCTTATTGTAATTCGGCTTCCCCTAAACTTCTCAACCGAGAATTTGAAACCATTGAAATCACCTCCTTCGAATTAAAGAACTTGAGGGGACAAACAAGGTAAAGAGGCCTCCTTCACACCTTCACCTCAGCAAGTACTTGGGTCTGTGGCTCAGCTTAAGAAAGCAAATCAAACTACAATATCTTTTTTCTTATATTGTCTCTGTCCTTCTTCCTAGTAAGTGATAGTGGTTGAACCTAGAGCAGCCTTTCTCCCTTCGCCAAAGAAAAAGGTTGATAAGAGAATGGAAGACAGCCATATTAAAGTGTCCACCCAAAAATTATTTTCTAGCTCCACCCCCCGCTTGGTATGAATACCTTCGGAGAATAGAGATTTATTAGAGACTACAAATAAGATGCCCAAAGGTGATGACAAAAAAGTTAACAAGCACTTAAAACATCTATTTAAAGTATCTTTAATTTCATGAGCTACTATGTTACAATATCAGCCATGGCATGACAAGAAAGGGAAATTATAATGCTAACTAGCAAAAACAATTTTTTTGTGACTTTTATTGCGTAGAAAATGCCAAAGTTGTAACAAAACCTTTGTTCAGAGAGTTAGAATTATAGGGGAAACTAAGATCAGCATTCTAAATGGATTCCCTTATCTCTTTGGAAAATGGCCTCCATTGATTAAA